AGTGACACCCACCAACCACGAGACCCACCACCCCAAAAACAAGACCCACCACCCAACCATGAGACCCACCACCCCAACAGTGACACCCATCAATCCTGAGACCCATCACCCCAAAAACAAGACCCACCACCCAACCATGAGACCAACCACCCCAAAAGCAACCCCCAGCCCCCCCCAGCGCCGAGCCCCCCGCCCGGGCCCTGCCCCGGGGGTACCATGGGCAGCCCCTCTCCCGCAGCCATGTCCCCGGAGCCGATGTGCGTCAGGTGCACGAAGTTCATGGGCTCCCCAATCATGGAGCGGTCGATCCTCCTCCTCCTCTTCTTCTGCGGAGGGAGATGAAGGCCGTGAGCCCCCCACTGACCCCCTCAGACCCCTCCCCAAACCCCCCCAGTGGTACTCACGGGCTGGGGCTTCTCCACGACGCAGCAGCCCAGCTTGTGCCAGAAGTCGCTCATGCTGGTGGTGGGAGCCACGGTCCCCCCGGTGCTGAGACCCCCGCGGGGTCACTCCATGGGGAGGCCTCGGGGCGCCCGCTGGGGCTGGCACGGCGTGGGCAGGGGCGGCTGGTTGGCACTGGGGAGGGAGGGGGGGTGATGGCTGCGGTCCTGAGCGCCCCAAATCGATGCCAAACCGACTTCCCAGCCACCAAACAGAGGTGGAGACCCCCCCGAGAGACCCCCTGGGATTACATAGAGACTGCCAGGAGACCCTTAGTGCTGCATGGAGACCCCCAGGAGAACCCCGGGATCACACAGAGAAACCCAGGATCACACAGAGACCCCCAGGAGAACCCTGGCACCGCATGGAGACCCCCAGGAGAATCCTGGGATCGCACAGAGAAACCCAGGAGACCCCTGGCACTGCACAGAGACCTCCAGGAGAACCCTGGAATCACACAGAGACCCCCAAGAGAACCCTGGGATCACAAAGAGACCACCAGGAGACCCTTGGCACTGCATGGAGACCCCCAGGAGAACCCTGGCATCACAAAGAGACCACCAGGAGACCCCTGGCACTGCATGGAGACCCCCAGGAGGCCCCTGGGATCACATGCAGACCCCCAAGGGACACTGAGCATCCCACAGAGACCCCAAGGGAACCTCCAGGATCACACAGAGACCCCTGGGATCACACGGAGACCCCTGGGATCACACAGAGACCCCCAGGATCACACAGAGACCCCCCAGGGATCACACAAAGAACCCCAGGGATCACATGGAGACCCCCAGGGATCACACAGAGACCCCCTCAGGGACTCTGGCCATCACACAGAGACCCCCAGAAGAGTTCCCCGTGGCCAGGGCTGGCTGAGGGCAGGACACAGGCGAAGGATGCTGCGGCAGGATGGGGGGGATGGAGGCGGCCGTGGCAAATCCCAACTCCCTGAGCCGGGAGCTATAAATATCCCGGCCTTTCCGAAAAGGGGCCGGAGGTTGAGCTCTTCCGCTGCAGCTCCAAGAGCACACGGGGGGGAAAACAAACAGGGGCTTGGTGGGGTTTTACCCCAAAGCCCCACGGCCCTGCCTGGGGTAGGCGAGGGGGTGTTGGGAAGGGGGGTTCGCCCCCAGAACGGGGGTTCCCTTCGTCCCAAGGGTTTTGAGCTCCTGTGCTGCAAAAGCACCCGGAACTCACCCGCCCAGGAAGGGCCCGAGCACAGCCCCGGGTGAGCCAGGAGAGTCCCTGCGTCGGCCCAGGGCCGAGCTGAGCCAGAGCTGGGCCTGTGGGTGCCGGACCCACCGCAGAGGCAAACAGGAAGAGTTCCTTCCTCTGCCCCTGCGCCGGCGACGCCGGATGGGCCAAAGTCCGCGGCTGCCGGGCCGCACTTCCTGCTCCTGGCGGGGAGGAATGGGGCTGTGGCAGCCCCCCAGCACGGGGGCTAACCCCCCAAAATGGGGGCTAACCCCCCAAAATGGGGTCTAACCCCCCTGGGGTGAACGGGGGTGCTCCGAGCTCAGCCTCGGCGCTGTCCCACCCTCAGCCCGGCCAGGGCCAGCGGGCAGGATCCGGCCCCAAGGACCCCACGGAACAGCACCCGCGGCCCATCCCCGTGGCCCCGGGGCACCCAGGGGGGTGGGTGCCCGCTGTGCCCGCTCCCCCCAGTGCCAGCCCGGCCCTGTGTCCCAGCCAGGAGGACTGAAGGAGCTCCCGGCCCCCGGGGCCCCGTTCCCCAGCACTCCCATCCCCGAGCGTGGCTGCTGAGAACGGGCAGGTTGTGACATATCCTCGGCACCCCCGGCCTCTCCCCCCGGCTGTGGGGCAGGGGAAGAGGGGGTTGCCTTTTCTTCCCAGCCTGATTTCCTTAGGAAACAAGGCTGCCGGGGCCGGCCCCGCCACAGCCCCGGATCCGGCAGCGCGGCGGAAAGGCCCGGCCGGGGGGTACCCCCCAAATTCACCATCGCAAGCAGCCCTGGGGGCACTGGAAGGGGCTCCGTGAGGAACCCCGAGAGTGGGTTCAGCCTCGTATGAGCCACCAGAGATCCCCCAGGGGTTCCCACAGCCACGAGCCCCCCTGCTCGGACCCCTCCGAGCCCAGACCCCCTCCCGGCACCCACCGGGGCCTCACGTCCTCTTGCCCAGCGAAGGGCGACGGTGGCCGCTGGCTCCGGCCGCGGGCTCCGGCCGCTCTCCCGGCTCCTGGCGGTTCTGCCGGCGGGTCCCACGGGCTGCAGCCGCCCCAATTCCCCGCTCTGGGGGGGGAAGGGGGGGTCCCACGCCCCCCCACACGCCCTCAGCCCACCCCTGCGATGAGCTGCGTCCGGTCTCAGCCCAGCTGGGCGCGGGGTGGCCCCGGCGAGGGCGGCTTTAGGCCCGGCCTGTGCCGGCACTCACAAAATGACTTCCCGGTTGGGAAAGCACCGCTCGGCTCTGCGTCACCGCCGGGGTCTGGGAAGGAGGGGGGGGACCCACTGCGAGCCCCCCCCCCAGCGCTGGGGGTCACCCACTCCAAGGGTGCTCCTGCTGGGGTCTCCTGAAGCTCGGAAGGGAGACAGGGACACGCTGGGTGAGAGTCCTGGGGTGCCCCAGCTGCGGGCGCGGGACCCCCGGGATGGGGCGGCAAAGGGGGGGGTGAACCTCCTTAGAGTGGGGTGGTCGTGGCTGCGACCCCGGCCCTAGAAAGGCTGAGATCAGATTCCCGGGGGTCCTGATAGGGCTGGGGGTCTCCTGATAGGGCTGGGGGGGTCCTGATGGGGTTCGGGAGTCCCAGCAGGGTTTAAGACCCCAGGGAGTCCTGGTGGGTCCGGGGACCCCAGAGGTCCCGGCAAAGCTTGGGGGTCCCGGCAGGGCTTGGGCCCGCGGTGCTCCTAGTGGGGCTGGGGGGTCCTGGTGGGCTTGGCGGGTCCTGGCAGCGCTGGGGGTCTCGGTGGTCCTGGAGGTCCCGGCAGGACTCCCTGGTCCCACCAGCGGGCTGCAAAGGGGGGGTCGTCCCGCCGCCCCCCCCCTCCCGTTCCGGTGCCGCTCCCCGCCTTCCTACGGCGGTTTCGGGGGCCCTTCCGCGGGGTCGCACCCCCGTCCCGTCCCGTCCCGCTGGCGGCCCCATTACCTGTCCCGGTGTCCGGCTCGCAGCTGCCCCAGGCGTGTCCCGGGGGTGCCGGGGCAGGTCCCGGGGCAGGTCCCGGTGCCGGTGCCCCGCTCGAAGCCCCAGGCGTGGCCCGGGGGTCCCTGTCCCGTTCCCGGTTCGCAGCCCCAGGCGTGGCTCAGGGATCCCGTTCGCGGTGCCGGTTCCCAGCCCCGGGGGCGGCTCGGGGGTCCCGTTCCCGGTTCGCAGCCCCAGGCGCGGCCCGGGGGTCCCGGTGCCGTTCCCGTTCCCAGCCCCAGGCGTGGCCCGTGCGGACGCGGCGCAGCTCCCGCCGCCCGGCGCGGCCCGAACCGGGCACAGCGGCCTCCCTTGGGCCCCGCCGGCACTGCAGGGGGACGGCGCGGGGGTCCCGGCAGGGCTGGGGGGTCCCCGGAGCCCTGGGAGGGCTGGGGGTCCCCGGGTCCCAGCAGGAAACTGGGAGGTCCCTGTAGGGCTGGAGAATCCTGGCGTGCCAGTAGTGGGTGTTCTTGGGGTCCTGGGAGGGCTGGGGGTGCCCAGTAAGGCTGGGATCCCCACCAGGTGCTGGTTGTGCTCCCATTTCCCTTATTCCCACTTTTTCCATGCATGTGCCCAGAGCCCTTGGGGGACCGAAGCACCCAAAGGCGTGGGAACCCCAGGCCACCCTGCTGCCGGTGTTGAGCGGTTTCACCATTTCCAGCTCGGAGCCTTTCTGCTTGCACAACGTCTGTGGGGTCCTGCCCCCACCACCACGGTCCTGCCACTGCCACCACGGTCCTGCCACTGCCACCACAGTCCTGCCACTACCACCACGGTCCTGCCACTACCACCACAGTCCTGCCACTGCAACCACCACCATGGTTCTGCCACCGGCACCATGGTCCTGCCACTGCCACCATGGTCCTGCCACCACCACGGTCCTGCCACTGCCACCATGGTCCTGCCACTGCCACCACGGTCCTGCCACTGCAACCACCACCATGGTTCTGCCACCACCACGGTCCTGCCACTGCCACCACAATCCTGCCACCGCCACCGCCACCATGGTCCTGCCACCACCGTCACTGCCATGGTCGTGTCACCGTCACAGTCCTGCCACCACCACGATCCTGCCACTGCTCTCACCACGGCGCTGCTGACACAACCCCGTGGCTCCAGCCACTGGCCAAACTGGCCTGTGACCTCTGGGATGTCCCCTTCCGCAGTGCCCATCCCACACAGGGGGGAGCCCCAGAGGATCCCTTCCCATGTCAGCCCCCGAATCCCAACCATCCCCATCATTCCCACTCCAGAAATCCTGAACAAGGCAGCACCGTCCCCACTCAGCCAGGTCTCTGTCCCACGCTGGCCCCAGCCCTGGGGCTGGCCCTGGCTGGTGGCCCTGGCTGGTGGCCCTGGCTGGTGGCTCTGGCTGATAATCCCCCAGGGGTTTGTGACCTCGTTCCAGCTGAAGAGCCCGTTTCGTTGGCCCTTGTGCTGCCAGAGGACATCGTCCCCCTCGCAGCCCTCCCAAAACCATCGACCCCAAAGCTGTGCCCCCACTGCCACGTCCCCCCGGGGGGTTCAGGCCCAGGTCCCTTCCTGGAGAGGGACGTGGCAGGTTTTGGGTTGTCACACGTGAGCCACCCCTTTGAGCAGGTGACAGAGACCCCGAAGAGAAGCAAAGAGCTGACATCCAGCTCCCTGTGGAGTTGCTCAGCCAAGCTGCCCCCCAGGGTCTGGGGGAACCCCAAAATCAGCATCTCAACCCCTCAGAGGGACCCACATCCTGCCACAGGCTCCCGGTTGGAATTCTCCCGGTGCCGGGTGCTGGTGGGGCCGAGCTGAGCCCGAGGGTCTATTTTGGAGCAGGAACGTGGGATCCTCTTGGGCCATGACAGCGCTGGGGAGGAGGAGGAGGAGGCAGAAATAGCCTGGCTGCAGGCCGAGCCCTGGCACAACCAGCTGCGCACAGGGAACCAGGGAATGGGGAGGAAAAGGGAGGAAAAAACCCTCAAGCCCTGAAGGAATGTTGATCTCGGGCAAAGCCCGGGGAGAGGAGGGCGAGAGCTGCTCTCACCTCTCAGGGCTGTGGGTCTGGCCTGTGCCCCCCTCACAAAAGGGTTTTTTGGGTGCCAGGGCAGGAGATTCCCTGGTCTGAGGGGTCGCATCGGGGTTTTCTTCACTGTCCCTCTGACACTGGATCAGCCCAGGGTGGGAACTGGGGGCAGTGGGGCTGCACGAGGTGCCCCCCACCCTGGTTTGCAGCCCCCCCCTCAGCCCTGGCACTGATGCCAGCTTTGGGTGTCTGCCTCTATTTCCAGCTCCGTGTCTGCCTTTGGACACAAAGCCGGGATATTTTTGCTGTGTGGCCTCAGGGCCAAATACTCCCAGTCTCAGCCATAAGAAAAACCCCTTTTCCAGTTTTTTTTGGAACCGAATGTCCCCGCGCCCTCCCAAGGTTTGGGGGCACCCAGCACCCCGTTCCTCCGCCTGCAGGTAAAAGGAATATTTGCCGGCTCCAGGGAGACTGAAAACGCCCCGTTATCCCCCACCCAAAAAAACCTGAAGGTTTGAGGAGCGATCTGGGAAGCGCTGCGGGTTTAACATCTCCTCATCTTCCTCATCTCGGGGGTCCAGCGCGCAGCATCCCCCCCCCCCCCGCGCCTCCGCCCCCCCCGTCCTCCCCCCCCCCGGCGCGGGTGGGAGCCGCTGACTCATCTGCCACCATCATCATCCCCCCCCTCCCCGAGGAAGGCGATCCGAGGGGCTGCATTGCAGACCCAGCCGCGCCCGCAGACAAAAGCGACGCCGCCGAACGAACACCCGCGGCTGCCCCCGGCACAAAGAGCCCGCCCGGCACCCAGCGCATCCCTCCGACCCGGCCCTCGGCGCAGGTAAAGGGATGCGGGGCAGGGGGGATGGGAAAAGCCAGAGGATGCTTTTGGCAAAGCGAGGAATTTGGGTGGAGGGAGTGTGTGTGTAATTTTCTCGGGGGAAATAAGTGACAGCCAGCGGGGATTTAAGGGGATAAAAGGTGGTTTTGCTTCCATGGGATGAGCAGACCCCGCTGATCCCGTGGGAAATGCTCTTTCTTGGTGACACGAGACACAGGAGGGCTTTTTTTCTCCATGTTCATTCCCTTTTACTGGATATTTGAATATTTTACTTGTCACTTAACTCCCTTCCCCCCTCCCCTTGTCACTAAACTCCCTTTTTTTCCCCTTTGAAGCCTTAAAATCCATGTGCACAACACCCATCACCATCAAAATAATTCGCTGCCGTTGTGCAGCAAGAAACCCCAAAAACCCGGGGATGGATCCCCAGGGATAAATCCCCCCAGGGAAGAGACTCTTTCGAAGCCCCGTGGCTCGGTTTGCCCCGAAGGGGTGACACGGGAGCCTTTCATTGCCTCAGAGTGACATCGGGAATCTCAAATGTAGCAGCTGCTCATCAGCACAGGCAGGGCACGGTCCAAGGTACGCCTGAGTCATCCTTTGGAATTCTGCTTTCCAACAGAAACAGGGGGATCAGCGGGAAAAAAAAAAAAAAAAGAGGATGTTTCGGGTTATTCAGATTTTTCCCCACCTCCGATGGAGGTGAGCGACAGAATCCCGCCGGGAAAAGCCGGGCGGTGACTCAGCTGATCCGTGTGTCTCCTCCTGCTCTTTCCCAGTTCTCGGTGGATCGGGGCGGGGCTGGCGGGGGGAATTCGGCAGCACGGCGTGGCGGGGATGGGTGGGGTGTGCCGGGAACACCGAGCCACGCTGCTTCCAGCCCTTTCCAGAGGGTTCTGGCATGGCCCTCTGGGCGATGCGATGGAGGGGGGACCTGCAGGGACACTCCCCCCTCCCCTCATTGCCCGGCACAGGGAAAGGGAGAGACCCTTGTGTGCTGTCTCATGGAAAATCAGTTCATTTGGATGCTGTTTGCCCTCCCTCCCTCCCAGCAGAGCGGGATGTGGGGGGCACCTCAGGGTGGATTTCAGGAGGAGCAGATCCCCACCCTGCCCTTCCCTCCTGCGCTTTGGGAAACTGAGGCACGGGGTGACAAGTCCCTTGCCCCCCCCACCTCCAAATCACAGCACAGAGAAGGGCTGTGACCAAGGTGAAGCCTTGGCAGGGCTCAGATCTGCAGTTAGACCCAGCCTGGAGTCAAAAACCTCCCCAGCCCCGCCAGCAGTTCGATTTTGGGGGGGTGTCTTGTGGGATTGAGTCAACACCTGAGATTTTCCAGCCGCTTTGAGGCAACTGCTGCGTGTCGGTCGAGCTTTTCTCCCCCTCTCCTCTCCCCCTGCCCTCCTGCAGAGCCCCAGGATGCTGGACACCATCATGAGCAGCCAGTACGACTCCTTCATCTACTGGAGGATGCCAATCCCGCGGCTGGACGTGGCGGAGCTGGAGGGGCTGGGGCTGGCAGACATGGCCCTCTACAAGCCCAAGGCAGGGGCTTTGGGCCAGCTCGTGGGCTCAGCTCGTGGGCTCAGCCAGGACCTGTCCCCAGAAGAGGAGGAAGAGGACACCCTGCTGCAGTTCAACACCTTCAACTTCTGGCGGGCTCCCATCGCCAGCATCAGCTCCTTGGATTTCGACCTCATCTGAAGCCCTTCCTGCCCCTCCTCGCCCCTCCCTCCTCCCTGCTCTCCCCCTTTTCCGCCGGGGTTTGGTTTTCTTGTCGCTTCAGGGGGGTCGTTGGGTTGGTTTTTTTGTTTGTTTCTGGGCGGTTTTGCCATCGCTAATTAATTAACTCAGCAGTTCACCCTGGGCTTGACGGTGATGGGCTCCCTGAGAAACCTTCAGCCCCTCCCCGCTCCTCCTCCTTTCCCTCCCTCCTTGGCAAGGAGGGGGTAACGACACCGGGGGCAAATAGGAGGGCAGGGGGCAGAAAGAGCCCCTCCTGCTGCCCCCTCTCTGTGTTTGGGAGGTGCTGAGGGGGTATCGGTGTGACCGTGGGTGTCCCTGCCCCGTGTGACACGTTTTCACCTCATTTCTCATGTGCTTTTTTAAGAAACTCTCATTTGTGCAATCGGAGCGGTGGGAATTGACCCTCCTCTGCGTTCCCCTGACCCAGTTTCTCCCAAATCCGCCTCATCCCTTCCCCTTCCCCTCGGGAATTCAAGGTGGAAGAGGCAGGGGTGTGCCCAGGGCATCAGCACGAACCTGTTTCTTGAGAAAAATAATCGCTTTGAGTCTTGGGGCTTGAGTCCAGGCAGAAAAAAATGATGGCCAGGAGTATAAAAACACATGGAAATGCTCTGACCTTGGTGGGTGGGGTCAAGGCTGGGTGTTCACTGCCCCAAATTTGATTTTTTTCATCTTTTTATGCCTCGTGTGCTTTATTCCCGGCGTGACTCCTGGCTGGGGCAGACACCAGGCACATCATGGGGTCCGTGACAGGGGCTGAGCTGAAAGAGAAGATGGAGAATTTAGTTTGATCTTACTAAAAGGAAATATTTCAGGTTTCCTACCCAATTAATCAACCACTTTAAAAATAACCAAAAAAAAAATGCTGCATTTGCTCAAGTGGAAGCCTTGAGTTTTCTTCGGGGAGATCTTCACCTGCTGAGGTTTATTTTTGAGCATCACCTCAAAATGGGGGGAGAAAACCCCAATTTAAACCGTTATTTCGCCCCTCCACCCCCAAGATTGTTTTTCTGGGATTGGTTTGTCTTCTTGAATGTGCTTTTTTTGGGTTTGATTGGGGTGAAGTGATGTGGAGCATCCCAAAATTGTCCTGAGAGGGGAACGTGGCTGGGGGCGGGCCGAGGCAGCACTTCAAAAGTGCCACAAATAGGCAAAAGTTGGAAAAAAAAAATCTGCATTCTACTGTGAAAATGGAATGCAGCTCTCCTGTAATCTCCAGAAATAACCAAGTGTGCTGATTTTGAACCATCCGTGTAAAACCAGAGGTGAAAAATGTAAATTCTCCTCTACAGAGCTGTTTGACTTCTGTGTTCCCAGCTGGGAAAACCTGCAGGAGAAGTATTTATTATGAAACCTTAAATAAAATCAGTTAAAAACACACATATTCCTGTGGACATGTAGACTGGCATCAAGTTCTACGGATTTAAGTAGTTTTAAATCTTTTTACGGTGAGCTGAGAACTGACCCCTGTGTCTTTGCTGTGGAGGACTTAAGTGTGGAAAAACTAAGCCTAAAGGATTAATTTAAGCGCATTAAGGATATTATTTACACTTCAGCTTTTACAAGCCCCACAGGAAAACACCCCAGGGAAGAAGAAGGCCCCAGACTTCCGAATTTACCTCAAAAAAGGGCATTTTGAGTGGGTCAGGGGCACTTGAGGGGGTTACACAGTGAGGAGAGGGGGGTCCGGCACCCTGAGGGGGGCTCAATCTTTGATACTCAGAGGGGACTGATACACACAAACTACTGAAATACGCACATATACATACCTAAATATACATATACATTTACAGACACTGACCTATCGAGGGGGTCAGGGCTCTGTAAAGCACCAAACCTCCCTCATCGCCTCAGGAAGGCGCCGCCGCCATTTTATATTTGGCGCCAAAAGGCCTCTGAGGGAACTCCCGGCAGGGTCACACCCTCTGCTTATTGATATCCTTCCGCCAGAGAAAAATACTCCCCGCCAGGGCTCCCCCGTCGCCCGACGGGGGCGGGGGGAAGGTGACGGAGGAAAGAAGGAGAAATCCCCAAATTCCGCACGATTTCCTCGGAGGCAGAGCGCGGGGAGGGTCGGCCAGGCCTTCCTCCTTCACAGGCGCGGCACGTACTCTTTTACTGGCGGTGCGTTATCCTTCCGCCGCCACCGCCTCCCGGGGCCGCCATTTTGTGAGGCCGCGGCGAAAGGGGCGGGAACGGCGGCTAAAGGGGCAGGAACGGCGGCGAAAGGGGCGGGGGGGAGGCTCGAGAGTCGCGTGAGTGGGGCCGGGGGCGGCCTGAGGGGTGTGTGGGTGAAACCCTCCGTGAGGGGGTTCAGGGAACCCTCTGTAGGAGGTGGTCTCGGGGGTCTGAGGAGGGGGGACCCCCATGAGGGAAGGGGATGGGGGACCGTCTGAGAGGGGTGATCTTGGGCATCTGAGGATGGGGAATCCCTGTGAGGGGATTCAGGGGACCCTCCCGTGAGGGAAGGGTTTGGGGGACCTTTAGAGGGGGACCTTCAGATCTTGGGGGTCTGAGGAGGGGGCACCCCCGTGAGGAAGTTCAGAGGACCCCCCATGAGGGAAGGGGTTGGGGGACCCTCTGCAAGTGAGGTCTTGGAGGTCTGAGGAGGGGGCACCCTCGTGAGGTGGTTCAGGGGACCCCCCATGAGGGAAGATATTGGGGAACCCTCTGAGGGGGACGATCTGGGGGGTCTGAGGATGGAGGGACCCCGTGAGGGGAGTCGGGGGACCCCCCATGAGGGAAAGGGTTGGGGAACCCTCTGAGGGGGGCGATCTGGGGGGTCTGAGGGACCTGAGGGAGTTCAGGGGACTCCATGTGAGGGAAGAGATTGGGGAACCCTCTGAGGGGGACGATCTGGGAGGGTCTGAGGATGGAGGGACCCCATGAGGGGAGTCGGGGGACCCCCCGTGAGGGGAAGGGGCTGAGGGACCATCTCTGGGGGATGGTCTTGGGGGTTTTTTGGTAGCTGAAGAAGGACAGCTTTAGATTAGATAGCGGGGAGAAATTATTTACTGTGTGGGTGGTGAGGCCCTGGCACAGGTTGCCCAGAGAACTGTGGATTCCCCATCCCTGGAAGTGTCCAAGGCCAGGTTGGACGGGGCTTGGAGCAACCTGGGACAGTGGAAGGTGTCCCTGCCCGTGGCAGGGGGTGAAATTAGATGATTTTTAAGGTCCCTTCCAACTGAAACCATTCCATGCTTCCAAGGTGTTTCGAGGACGCTAAATACCAGGGAAAGAGTGGTAAATGTATCCCTGATCCCACTTTTTCCCAGGGAACGGTGCAGAACCAGGTGAAGACTCATCCAGAGGGAACAAACCCCATCCCCAACACCGTGGCTCTCACCTCACCCTTCATTCTCACCCCTCTTCATTCTTCAGCAGGTGCCAAACCCACCTCAGGTAAGGTTTTATGGCACCCTGAGGGGGAAAATCTTGGAAAAAAGTCTCCTAGGGTCTCTCACCAGTAGAGGGCAGGTGGATATTTAGTAAAGAGAAAGGGCTGAAATGCAGCCAAACCCGCCCAGCTGCTGCTTCCTGCCCCGGGATGTTTTTACCACGGAGGTTCCTACAACTGGTGTAAACAGAGGTGGTTCCAGTGCCAGGGGGTGCTCACTTCACTGCAGGTTTTGAGGGAATGTTTTGCTGTTTACAGCCTGTTTAGACCTTCTCCTGGTGGGAATTCAGCCCTTTAGTTGGAATATTTTTTACTTTTTCCATCCCTTTGGTGTGGAAATCTATCCCCGTTCCCTCTCTGCCTTTGTTTCACTTTGGTCCCCCTGTCCCGTGGATCCCTCTGGAGTCCTGTGGATCCCTCTAAGTCCCTTGGATCCACAAATCCCTTGGATCCATCCAGGCTCTGGGGCTGAACGGGATCTCCTTGCAAAATCCCCACCTCTCCTTTCCATAATCCCCTTTTCCAGTGCCACCACCCCCCACGTGGGACTGGCCTGAGATACCCCGGGATTTTCCCTCTGAGACACTTCCAGCGTCAGTCAGAGCTTGGGAACAGCCCCGTGTTGGGCCTTGTCAGGAGCTGAATTTCTCATTTCCCACGAGGGGGCATCAGCGACCACCTTAATACCAACAAAAATCTCCCATTTGACGCTCCCAGATGATGATTTTCCCTTCTCTCTCTCCTGTTTTCCAGTAGGAACGAGGATCTTTAGCTGGGCTGAAGGTTGGGAGGTGCTGAAATCTCTAAGCCTGTGGTGTTTTCACCTGCCAGACCAAGTATTGCATGAAAATAAACCCAGTAAAATCAGGTGAAAAAGAGAGAAAACGGGTTGCAAGGGTTAAATCAGGAGAACTTTAGGTGAACTTCCCTCTGTGTGCTCGTAATCTCTTCATCTCCGCTGGCCCCGAGGAACAGGATCTGGTTTTTTTGCCCTTTTTAAAGAGGAATTGTGGGTTCTCTGCACTGAGCTTGCGCCCTTTAGGTAATTTCCTGTTCCATTCTCCCGAACTCTGCATTGAATTGGAGTTACCGTGGTCAATTGGAGGAAGAAACATTGTTTTTGGGGCCGAGAGGGCTTGTTTATCTCCTTTCAGTCCCTCTCCCACTGCAGGGGACGGGGCTGAACTCGAGAGGGGAGCAGGAAAGGCCCAAATGCTGAAATCCAGTGACACATGTGGCCAAACTGTGCAGCAAAGGGGCAAGAAATGGAAAATATTCTTTATTTTTTGCAATTTTGACCTGTCCATACCCCTCAGTCAGACCCAGCAAATCTGTGACCACCTTCATAGCTTCATGTGGGCTTTAAATTCAATTAAAAATGAAAAATTAAATTAAATTGAATTAAAAACCCAAGAACAGGTTCAACCTGTCCTAAAATAATATCAGAGCCCTTTTTGGAGTGACTTTTTGGAGAGGGACCTCTGATAAAAAAAACTTATCTGTGTCCCTTCCTTTTCTCCACTGGAACCTGGAAAATACTTTATAGCTGATAAAATTGTTGCAATTCTAGATGCTCTAGATGATAAAACTGTTGCAATATTGTTGGTAATTTAAGAGGTGGAAGCCAGTTTGCCTTATTTCGAGGTAAGAAATGATGATAATAAATACTT